GCAGGAAAAAGTCACAACCATAGTTGACTGTGGCCTCTCTTGTCAACAGCCTACAGCCTGAGAAGCAAAATCTGTAGCCCGTCAAGTGACTGTGTAACAGTCTTACAGGAGGCCTGTTCCTCCTAAGGGAACAAACTTTTTTTGACACCAAGGACCAGAGATGAAGTTTGTCCCTTCTTTGCCTAATTCCTTTCCTCTTGTTTCTGCTTGTTTAAGAATATCACCTTAAAATACAGACATGGTTAGACATATCTGAGGCTATGCTAGAGTAGAGATAGTGGTATGAACACGAATGATAACATGCACGTTCTGAGGAAAACCCCCAACTCTTGTTGATTCGGTGTAAAACCCTCAAAGCGATTTAATTGGTATTAATCCGTTTGTCAGTTTACATGCAGCAGATCTCATAATTACTTTTACCTGTTTAAAGACATGAACTTAATAGCTCCAAGAAGGGATACTCAGTTTTTAGCTCTCCCATAGAAACATGTGCCATTTTGATGTGAGTTATAAACAGATTTTATTCTAGGGTTTCAAGACCAGTTTGTGGTGTTTCTGTTAATTAGAGCAAGATACAGGGAGTCTGTGTGTAATGTAAGGTTGGATTCACCTTTTTGTGTTCTTTTGTGTTAAAACAGCAAGCCCTCATTAGCTTTGAATGGTCCTCAGTATTTACTAAGTCAATTTGATAGAGTTAAAGTGAAATGCTTTGTAATTTACTACAAATTGTCCTGATGCAAGGTCAGAGTTAAATAACTGCTGTTTTCAATACTGATTTTTATATTCCACATGCAGCATTTCCATCCTTCTATAAGAAACCAAATCAGTTCTCTGAATTCCCAACCTTAATGCTTTAAACAGCAATGTTGAACTTAGCAATTTTGTATATTCACAGAAAGGATCAAATACAGCAGAGATTTCCTTCTGAAACTTTCAAGTGTTTCTCTCTCTCAGAAGAAGCCAGAGTTTCTTCCTGATCATCCAGTTGTACTTGAAAAGCCAGTAAGTGCATTTTTCATATTAAGTGAAGTTATAAAAACAGTCACGGAGGTTTTGAACACCCATTTGATAGGAAACATTTTCCTTCAGACTAGCCTACCAAATTGATAAAACCTTCAAAAGACAGATTGTGCAGTTTAGCTCTGTTACTTTTGTATGTAACTTCCCCAGTCGGTATTTGGCATCTTACCATGGAAGTACTGTACAAAGGAAAAGGGTTTTTTCTTTGTCTTCAGGAAGAAGGTCGGTATGAAATCATATTAAAGCTTCCTACTATGAAATCACTGTACATAGCTTTGGTGTTCTATGTCAATTCCATCTCTGTCTTTTCAAAAGAAAAAAGAATAGAATAGAATCTTGATAAATTTCTGGCTTGGTTAAAGTCTGATTCCAGTGTTTAAGTTATTCATGCATCAGTGTCCACTACAAAACTACTAATGACCTTAATGCCATTTGTGTTATGATTATCTCTGGCCTGTGCTGTTGGGGAGAGATGAATAGACATGAATAATGAATGTGAAGGATATCCAGGAGTGCCACCTTAACCTTTGAGATGAAATAATCCTCAAATACTTCGTGTGCTAAGAGAAAAAAATTAATGGTTCATATTCCACACACCAAATGTAGGAAAATGTTCTTGGGTATAAACATTATAATATCAAATCAGGCTGCATACTGGGCTGCTTCTGAGGCCATCGGAGTGTAGTTCTTCTACAAATAGGATTCCTATCCTGGAGAAGTATGTCCAGACGGCTACTGTGTTGGCCACAATTTGAGGCCGTTTTAAGCTTTTAAAATTTCTGTTCTTCGGAAGAACAAAGTTAAACTAATATATGACAGTAATCGGCCTTCCCTGATCTTACTTTTTACATATTTCTGTGATATTTGTCTTCAAGATGAAAACTTTATTTGTTTGAAAAGCTTCCTGCAGGCAGGGAAATCTCAACCCTTGAACTCTCTAATTTTTTTCCCCCCCTCCTCCTGTCTCTTGGGTTTCTAAGGGGGGCAAACTTTGAAAATACATACATTTTCACATGGTTATGTTCATAGGCAAAGGAGGATCCCTGCAGAAATGGAATCAGTGGACAGATGAACTCTAAAATTGCTTGTGACATGGCTGAATTGCAATTAATTTGGGTAGAGGATAGTAAAAACTGATGCAAGCCAAGATGGGTTGCATGTGTTTTAAGAGATTGTTTTGGGGCTGGAGGATCTGTGTCTGTAGGATGATGTCATAAGTATATCCAGTTATATATTAGTCTTGTCTTTAGAAATGAGAGTATCTCACGGTTTGTGAGGTCTGCTCTTAAAGTCTTTCCTCTGCTTTTTGTTAGTCTTATGTATGTAAGCTCCCACCTGCATATTGTAGTTTATCATACAGATAAAAAAGCAGTGAGTTTTCTGATTCTATTCAGCTGCAAAAGGGGATGGGTGAATTACGAATACTTATTAGTCAGGATTTTGTGTTAGAACAACATAAGTGTATCACTTAGCTATCATGGGTGTCTTAAGCACAAAGCATGGATGGCTAGGTAGGAAGCTAAAGGAAAAAAACCTGCTCTGTATGGGAATCTAAATATAAGAATCTGTGACTAGAACAGAAGCTGAATCTTACCCATTTTTTTCCTTAGGCTTGGCCTGTCAACTAATACTTTCTTACTTTCAGGTCTCATATATAAGTGTGAAAGATACATACTGAATTTCAAAACTAGAAGGAAAAACACCCCAATAACCACAAACGTTTTATGGGACAAAGACCTGTATTATTTCCTCTTCTGAGTTAGATGCATCTCTTAGAAAACATTACTAGTGTGACTTCCATGCAATACAGGGCAACATGGAAATAGGAGAAGCCTCTGTTTGTTCGGAATGTGGAGCTCACTGGTGTATAGTTCCTTTTAAAACAGTAACACTGAATAAGCAATTTTTCTATCCAGTAGAGTGTTTATCTCAAATGAGAACAGTCTGAGCCCAACATCCCATAAAAGGATTGAGCCTGTTACGGATTTTTCTTAATACTTTTAATAATACATAGATTGGAGGAAAAACATTTCATAATTCTTGACCATGTAGTCTGAGAAGGCACCTGGAATCAAAGAAAAAGTGAAGATAAATTCAGAACTAGTTTATCCATAGAAGGCAGTGATTTTAGGCTCCTTCTGGTGCAGTACTGTGACATCCGTCTGTCATGTTAAATTGCCTGCTTTGTGTGACAGCTTGCTTATTGAGGCTGGATGTCTGAGTTTGAGCATTCTACTTGTAGAGAACAAGTTGATTAATAGTAGAAGGCCTACAGAACAAGCACAAACAGCTTTAGTTTTGGTGCAGACAGCGTTTTTCAGGTGCTGTTTCTCTCTAACCTGTTCAGTGATGAGACAGAATTATAATCTACAGCCTTATTTTGGGGTTGGGTTTGTTTTGATTCCCTAAGCATGTTTTTGGTAGCTTTTAGTGAATTTCCCATATCAGTTTGGAAGGGAACTCTTGAGATCACCTAGTCCAACCCCCCTGCTCAAGCAGAGTCAGCTTGAGCAGGTTGCCCAGGATCATGTTTTAAGTCAGGTTTTGAGCATCTACACAGGCAGAGACTTCACAACTTCTTTGTGGAGAGGTTGCGCAGCTGTTGTGCAGTGCTTGGTCACCCTCACAGTGAAAAAACAATTGGTTCAGGGAGGCTGTGAAAGCTGTCTCTCTTTCATCAGATCTTACTGGATGTTTGCACTGGTGAAAAATTAAATCAAAAATCTTTCTCATAGCCCTTGCGGTTTCTAGAAGGGTGGGAGAGGTACAGTTTAATTTTAAGGACATCCTGTAGCGGAGCTGACATGATAGTGAGAAATTCTCTGAATGTTGCTGTTCCTGAGATCTCTAAGGTAAGTGCTGAGGTGGATTTCTGTTTAGTTTTGCTTGTGGCATCCTGATAACAAGTCATCTAAAGGCGGTGCTCTTTTGGTAGGGCAGGACCAGAAATGATAGTAGAGTGTTTGTATCATGATTATGTCATTATTCAGGGCTTGCTTTCAGTGGAGTGTGCAAAAACACTTAATTTACTTCTGTGGACCAGTAAGTGGTGTTCAGTTGTTCCATTATCCGTCCTCTTTCCTCTGCACTTCAGTTGCCTTCATGCAGCAGATTTGGTAGTCACATGGGAAAATTTCAGTGTGTTGACTGATCCAATGTCACCCATTCTTCTGCATAGAAGCAGAATCACAGAATTGCAAGGGTTAGAAGGGACCTCAGGAGATCATCTAGTCCAACCCGCCTGCTAAAGCAGGTTCTCCTAGAGCGTGTTACACAGGACTTCATCCAGGCGGGCTTTGAATATCTCCAGAGAAGGACACTCCACAACCCACCTGGGCAGCCTGTTCCAGTGCTCTGTCACCCTCAGAGTAAAGAAGTTTTTCCTCATATTCAACTGAAACCTCTTATGTCTCAGTTTATACCCATTGCCCCTTGTCCTGTTGCTGGGCACCACTGAGAAGAGTCTGGCTCCATCCTCGTGACTTCCATCCTTCAGATATTTGTATGTATTGATGAGGTCCCTTCTCAGTCTTCTCTTCTTCAGGCTGAACAAGCCTCTGCCCCGCTGATCAGAACCCTCTGAGCCCTGCCATTCAGCCAGTTCTCCATCCACCTCACTGTCCACTCATCCAACCCACACTTCTTGAGCTTCCCTATGAGGATATTACGGGAGACAGTGTCAAAAGCCTTGCTGAAGTCAAGGTAGACAACATCCACCACTTTCCCCTCGTCTACCCAGCCAGTCATGCCATCGTAGAAGGCTATCAGATTGGTCAGGCATGAACCAGAGGGATCAGTGAGATGCGGGTGTAAGTTAAATGGATGATGCTTAAAAGGGGCAGAAGGGGGCCTCCAAATAAATTTCTGAAGAGGAACCGACAATCCTACAGCATGTCAGTGAGCTTGTATTTAGGAGCAGGTGGTTGTCAACAGTTTGCCGCTGAATTGAGTATTCAGGCAGTTCTTGCCCAACTTAAGACTTCCCTGGTTCTGAACTTTTTAAGTCATTCCTGAAGTATATGCAGTGAAAGCCGTATTTTCAGATGGAGAAAGCTTCCTAGAGTGACACGTACAAGGGAGATGCACAGTTAGTGGGGCTGTGGGTTGCATTTGTCCTGAAAGACATCAGGGTTTTTTGAGATGTGGGGATGAGAGCTACCTATACATAGCTCAGCATTCGAACTGAACTGATTTTACTGTGTTGACAAAGTCTGCCAGGAAGACTTCAGATTAAGTCTCTATGATTAATGAAAGTAGAACTGTTTGCATTAATTAAAAAAAAATCAAATTGTTAAATGTACATGGAGTAGAAAAGGGATGTAAGCAGACCCACGAAAACTTGGTTTAGATGACCTATTATAACTGAATTAATTTGAGGGTTTGTTTGTTTTGCAGGAAAAGAGCAACCCTTCTGTTGACATATGCAAGAAGTGACAGGTTGTTTGGAAGATGAAAAATCCATCAATGAAGGAGCTACCTATGATGTAGATCTTTAAGATTTTTGAAGGTACTTGGGTGCCTACAGATGAAAGTAGGACCCTGTGAAACTTATGGAAATGCCTGTTTCTTCTTGTAATTCCCTGAAAGCTTTAAAAGGCAAACCTTTAATCTGTATGTCTGACATAGTCATACAATTACAGTGAAAATAAATAATTCTACATTTTGCTGTGACAGAATTTTGTCCTTGAATTGACTGTGTTATTTAGCCGTATAGTTTGTCTGACCATAAATTCTAAACCAATAGCTGAGTGGGGCTTTTTGCTTGCTCCCACCTCCTTTCCTTAGCAGTCATAATGCAACAACAAATACTGGCTGTGTCAACAACAAATACTGGCTGTGTCAAATCTCAGATGTCTTAGGGTATGTACTCTTCTAGTGGTTTTTTTTTTTTTTTCTTTTTCCCCAGAAACTTTACTTGCTTGCTTTCTTCATTTGAAATCTCCATCTTGACACAAGAGTTTCCTTAATACTTTGTGGATACATACCTTCTTTCAAGGTACAAAGTCTCTTGTTACTAACAGTTTCACTAAAATTAGAAATGTGTCATCATTAATCAGAGCAAGAGAACTGTCAACACATTGCATTCCTTGAAGTTCATTGTAAATAACTGTACAGTGTTTTTGACTTTGAAATGTGGAAATAATGGACAAAATTGAGCAACAAGACAGATTTTAATCACATCTTATATGGGTAAATGGGTATCCTGGTACATCATTAATTCTATAACTTTTTTTTCTTAAATGAGAATAGTATTTAATAGTGAAGTGGAAAGCATTAGTTTGAGTATTTCCTGAAAGTATCCTTCAGTTGACAAGCATCACTAATAGTTGTTTTGTGTGAATATAATTACCTTCAAAACCTATATCCAGACCTGCAATAATGTCATTTGGACACTGAAGGAAATTTTTCAACCTCTGTCACAAATGATGATGGAAGCTAAATGAGAATATGTTGCATGGTAATTGCAGTAGTGCAGAAAACTTTCAAGTTGCATTTGATAGACATTAGATTTCTTCCCTTGAACTGTGCAATTAAACTTGTTTGGATTCAGGTTCTTTTATGTTTCGCAGTAGTTAGTCAATTAAAATAAGCTTCCAAGAGTATTCTATTTGTATGTTGTTTACAAGTAATGTTACAAAGAACTGGAACCTTTTTTGCTTTTTAATCACTGGGAGTTTTTTAGAGTGAGTCCTATGCATCTTTTTCCTCAGTATGTGTTGAAGGCAATTTCTGTGGATAGCTTCTTTAAGTGAAGCTTCTCAAGCTTGTTCTTGTTTATGATCCATCAAAGTGCTTGTTTGCCCCCCCTCCCCAGCACCTAATTGACATGAAGTTCTAAAGCAGGTTGTTTTAAGAATAATTTTAGTACACTTTGTCCAGTGAAAAGGAAAAATGTTGTAAACCTCAGGGTAGCATGTCAGTTTTCACTTAGGGATTTACCCTGCAGCAGTGTCACGTGTCACTATTTCCTTTGTCGGTAGATCAGTAGTGACAAAAGAAAACATGCTGTACACTAGACTGACGTCTTGGCATAGGAAAAAAGCCAGCCAGCTCTTCAGAGATATGAGTAGTTTTACTTTTACTTTGCTAAAGACAAGAAAGCTTTGAACTTTCACTGTTCTGTCATTTGTGAGTGTAATATGGCTATTTGGGTGCCTTTTTAAGAATGAACAGATCTGTAGTTGGATCATGTCAATATGGGAAAGCTTTGGACTTCAGTATTAAAAGTATTCACTTTTGCTGAGTTACTGTAAGAAGATGTAAAAGTGAAATTTGTCTCTAATGTGGGCACCTACATTCAGGTGTGTAGGCATCACCTGCTGACATCCACATTTGCTTAGAGAACCTAAGCTGTACTGACTTTATTGGCAAAGGGTTTGATTCGGTTCCTAATGGTAGGCATCTGGTGGTTGTCTGAGACACGTAAGATATCTGAAGCGGCTGCATGGGGCTGGCATAAATGATACACAACCTACAGGTAATTCGCGTCCTTCTCAGCTGGGAGCTGGAGGCCAGTTGGAATACCCTAGAGCATCTCACATGTACTAGATGCCTTTGTTTAGGCAACTCATTTTGCCTCAGAACTCCATTGATACAATAGGAGCTAAGATGCCTTGATGCAGGTGCTTTAATGTGGCACTTTTGTTAATCTTGAGCTCAGTCCTGGTCCTAGCTTTTATGGAACTTTACTGCAATGAAGATTGCTCGTTTGTAGTCTAAATTCCCCACTTTTAATGACATATGGTAATGTGTTGATTGAGTTGAAATAAAAATAAGTTATTCCTACAGTTAAGAAGATGTTTTATTGAATACGACTTTTAAGTTACTTTTTGGGTACCATTTGTAACTTTGGACTGCTAGATGAGTGGAGAGAGTGATCATTTAGCATACAGAGCTTGTCAACCTGTCATGAAGGTGTGAGGTTACCACAGTCACTTGCCTTTCATTCTTAGGCTGGAGGATGCACCTGCTGCTCAGATGCAAGGAACAACAGCAAGACTTCTTAGGGAAGAAAGTATTTCTACTTCCAGTTTTATAGCTATTTGTGCTCTAACAGCGTTTCTCTAATGACTTTTCAGTGAGCTGCCAGTGATCTAATGAAAATATTTTCCAGGTGTTTGGGACATAGGGTTCAAAGCAAAGTAGTTGTGAAATGTTAAGTCTGTGGATCCAAAGCGGCTTGGCAGTCAGGCAGACATGTTTCCTCTTGGGAGGGTAGGGGCTAGAGGCTGTGAAGAGAAAATGGTATTACCTTGTCTTGTCATGGGCAGAAAATTTTCTGTGCAAGTGAAGTTCTGTATTGACACAAAAAGTTGTCCCTATGTTTATTCTCCTAATTAATGACTTACAGCTTCTCTGAAGCATTAAGACATTTATGAAAATGTGTGTGTTCATGTTCATACCTGTTTCTTCTGTAAAAGGAGAAAACAGCAGCGTTAGGTAACAATCGTTTATTAATGTAAGACTAAAACTTTTCACAAATACTTAGTCATACCAATCAAGATGCACTTTTCTGTGATAGTTTGGATTGAACTTGCACAATAAACAGTTTAGCATAGTTGTCTTATTTCAGCTTTTAGAACACAATTTCACTGAACTAGTCACAAGAAGAGAAGGTAATAAATATGTGGTTTTCCATATTTTAAAATGGAAAAAGATCACATCCATAATAACAAACAGTATCACATCATAAATTCTTAACCCAGCACACCTGTACACTGCTATATGAATGTTAATATAATGAAAAACAATGCAACATTAACGTTACTTGGAAACACAGCTTCTAGTTGTTATTGAGGACCCACCACGATGCTGAAAGAGAGAATATATTTATTTATGAAAATAAACAGTATTTCTTTTTCTACCGCTTGTAAAAATCCTAAATAAAATAGCTATAACGTGTATAAAGAAACATTCATTTATATATGCACCTAATACCTCTTTATTTAAAAGCTGCATACTTTCAAGGACAAAACCTCTCCACGCAGGGGAAGAATACTTAAAATATTAGGAGAGCTGAGTATCACCAGTGGGGGGCTGGCTTTAGCACAAGAATTTCTATCTCTTTTTGATAACATCCAAAAAAGCATTAACGTGTCATGGGTATGGTTGCACAGAATTAATTAAGTGCCCAGATCCCAGAGGGCAAACCACATATATCCTCACTCCTGTTCTGCTGCATGTGTCATTATTTTAGCTGAGCACTGTGTCCCCTGGGTGATTGTGCTGCCTGTAGTGACTTTCCTTCCTGGTGACATTATTCAAACCTGGTACTGTTCTTTTTACATAGCTCTAGGAATAAGGAGCATTTTGCCCCAAAAGTAAGGGAATTGGTGGACTTGTAAAATGTCGTTCCTGTAATCACCAGATTATAGACAGGGCCGGAGTGAAACACATTTGTGTTTCTTCCCCACAGTCCCTCCCCTTCGCCCTTTTGAAATTGAACCTTATGCAGAGAGGAACCACAAGATTTATGGAGAGAGACAGGAAGGAAGGAACGGAATTGTGACTGTCTCTGAGATGCCAAGGCCCCATAGCGGAGGGGTGTTCTAGGCTCACTAGGGTTGCGCTGCACAGTTTGGAGATTACATTCATTAACACAACTTGTTTCTGTGAATGTGCCCATAAATCCTTCAATTTATGGCATTTTTCTCAAAAATGTTACCCTTGAAGAATGTTGAGAAGATACTTAAGAATCCTACCTAAGTTTGGGCTATGAAAGCCTAGTAGTCTCTGACACAATCAGTGGATTCATGAATTTTGCCCCAAAAATGCCAATTGAACAGTTTATTTCATGGATCAGAGTGTCCTAAGCGTTCAATGGTTTTCCCCTTGCTTTTGTTTTCTTCACCAAAAGGTTCTCTAGTGTCCTCAAGTTGAGAAAAGATTAGGCATTCACTGAAGATGAAGCGAGTGATTCATGCCACCTGGGTAGATTGGCCTGAAGTGACTTGGTCGGTTAGCAGGTGATTATAAGAGGTTGTGGTTCCTATTAACTGATGGTAAATGAATTTGCTTTAGGAAAATACTGGATCTAACAGTCTTGAAATCCCATGTCTTCCTGAGTCATTCTTAGCCAGGTAAGTGTTTCCTTATTAATTTTAATTAATCAGCTGAGTGAAGACGCTTGGGTTGTAATCTTTGGATCAGATTCAGATTACAATTTAGAATTGTTTCAGTTCTTAGTTAACCAGATGTGTAAAATACTGTAGATGTGTCTGAGCTAGGGTAAATTTGCTTTTAAAATAGAGCTTGTCTATGTGCTAGTTGCAGACAGGTTGGTATTTTTTTTCTGATTTTACAGTGGTACCACTTCACGGCATCTAAATTTTATAAAGTATGCTGCTAGCATTGCAGCCATCAGTTTTTACTTCATGAACATTTTCTGTTTATCAAACACAAATACGATTTGTGTAGCTCAAATATGGGAAGTACTTCCCATGAAACAAAATTTCAAATGCCTTCACAGATTTCTAAGTAATAGATAATCTATGAAATTGTAAAAACGACTGTGAATGCATCACTTCCCATTTATCCCCCCATCCAGCAAGGAGTGCTTGGTGAGAAATGCTGTTCCTATGGCAACTGCCTGCCAGGGTGAAATCCTTCTTAGCAGGCATTGTCGATGCTTTAACGAGCGTTTTGAATCCGATTTCAGACACTTCTATACTTAGGCATTTATAAATGATGCTTACATTTTATTTTTTGTGAATTGTAATTTACCTGTGAGTAAACCACCCCTGGAACACACCTGGGTCATACCCAGTCCAGTTCTTGGACACAAAGAAGTTTGGAAAAAGGCTGCGTTGTTTCCTACAGCCAAATTTGTCTTAAATCCAGCAATTTCCCAGTAAGATACACGATTGGAAGGAATTCTTGGTTCATTAAGTGCAATCTCCTGATACTGCAGGAATCCTTGGCATATAATTGCATGTTCAGATAAGGCTCATGAGGGCTGAAAATGTCTTGGCTGGTTTATTTTAAGGAGAAACCTCAGGTCCAGAACTACGTAATTTTTTTTTCTACTAGGCCAAATTTTATTATTTTAAATTTAGTCAGTACTCAAACATAGGGGAAATTAGGGTTTCATTGTAATAGATTTGTGTTGCCCAAGATAAAAATTTTGCTGTCCTCCCTCTGAAAATACGGGACTGATGCTTGCTTTGCTTCCTCCTGCACTGTGTCTTTTAACTATCATTTCTCTGAGAAAGATGTTTCATGCTCATTGGTTTGTATTAGAAATAGTAATTTGGAATCATTAACATCTTGCTTTTTCAAAGGAATTTGTTCTTTCCCTGTTTTAACTAGTAGGAAGCATGTACGATCAATTGGTTAGTAAGCAGAAATTACAAGTAATTTCATGTCAGTTAATGTAAATATGATTAAGTTGAAGTCTTCATCAGCAAGCAATTTTTTGCCTGAAAATCTTGAACAATATCTATTTTACTAATCACAAATGGTATTGTTTATCCTAGACATTCTCTTAAACAGTATATGCTAGCATAACTTTTCCACTATAGAATAAAACGTTGTGAGTCTTGCTGATGTATTTTACATTTCTGTGCTTAAAATAAACACATTTGGAGTCCCTTTCTCCTTTGTACTTTACCAAAGAAAACCTGACTATGCAGTGATCCTGCATATGGAACACACTAATGTAGCAGAACTCTTCACATGGAATAAACAAAGTAATGTGAAAAATTGGTATTTACCAGGGACTAGCATTGTCGTGATGAGCTCTGGAGTTTCCAAGAAGTCCACGTTACTTCTTTGGAATGTCTTGCTGTAATTCATTTGAAGGTGGCTAACAAAAGAATCAAGTTTTTTAAAGGGGCTAAAAATTTTTATGAGCATCAGAAATTTTACTGTTAATGCTATAACAGAGATTTTGTGCTTCAAAACTGAGAAAAATTATTATAGCGGGAGAGGAGACGAGATAGGCTGTGAAGTTCTTCTATTTTGCATTAAACACATGTTTTCTTCTGTATGCTTAACTGTTGCCCTGATGCTCATCTCCCAGTTGTGACCCAGCGTAGCAGCTCTTGTTCCAAGTGTAGGCTGACATGTTACCGGTGGTTTTGAGTCTTTCTGAAAGTAAACTTTGGACCAGGGCTTTGTTCAAAAGGAAAGAAACTAACTTTCAAGAGACTGCTTCGTCTTCCTTCAGAATGGTTTCTGTCTGCAGGTTTAGGATTGTGGGTCTTGTTTTGGGTTTTTTTTAATAGCAGGAGTAGTAGTTAAGGAAAATCTTTTTGTCTTTACTCAATTTTTAGCCATCTACCTGCTGCTGCAGGCTAGAACTCAGTTGGTAGGGCTTTTAATCACTGTAACTTCTATTTTGGGCCCAAAACAGACCTTCTGGGAATCTGTCAGATAGGTTTTTGTGATGTGGGTTTGGGACAGCTCCCTGTGACTGCTTGCATGCTCGAGTGTGTTGCTGGATGGCGTGCCTGTCAATGTCGTCACTGAACTATGGGAATACTGCCATTTCCCTGGTCTTCTGTCTGTGATCAACTACCATACATCTGATGCCGTACCTTTCTCTGTTCGCTTTCAGGCATTTTCTGTTCTGTTTGAACTAGCTGTGTCTTTCTGACATCTTTATTTGTATGTTTCAGTATGTTTTAGTTTTAGCAACTGAAGTATTTTCTGAAGTATTAATGGTGATCTATTTAGCAAGAGATCAATTAGCAGTAAAGTCGTTTGTATTCAGTCCTTCTACGCAACTGCTCTCTAACCTTCAGAACTTAATGTGCTACAAAAAAACCCTCAAAACCAAAAAATCCCAAACTTACCTATTCCAGGCATTGCTGTTCTCCCAGAACTCATAAACAGTGAAGCGGGAATCACTTGGAAGCTTCTGTATGGAAACACTAAGAATTGTAGGATAAAAATAATTTAATCAAACCTGTCAAAGTTATTGGAAATACACATCTTCTTCCAAATTGCTTATGAATATGAGCCAAATGCAGTGATTTAGCAAAAAAAAAAAAACCAAAAAAACCCCCAGGAAACAAATAAAAACCCCCAAATAATAAATTTAACAAATAAGTGATTTTTGGAAATATACTGTAAATTATCTGAGCTTTTTTAACCTCATGGAGTATTTTCATGGCTTTTTATTTATTAATATTTTATCCAAGTACACTTATGATGGACACTTATTTGAGAAGCTCATTTTTCCCATTGCTTCAGTAGTGTAATTTATCTAAAGAAATGCTAATCAGTAATACAGAAAATTAATTGAACAACTGTGGTTCAGGGAAAATCAGCTAATAGTGCGTATTGCACATAGAGAACAGTTCAAGTGAGCTTGTAGAGTAATTTGTGTTGTTTCACCGAAGAATTACACTGTGAGAAGTCACCCTTTTGTACGAGAGATGCACCCAAGTGGCAGTGTTTAGGTGCTTTGGAAGAAAATAGCAATGGGGTATAAAGACAGATAGGCTGATGTCTGCTGCAGGTACACTTAAAATAACACCTTTTGGTATTATTTACTTGTCCTTATGTCATTCAGCTAACAACTTATTGTGGGTGAAAAATGACCCACAGAGTATCTGCTGACCTCTACACAGAATCATCCAGCTTATTATCCTGAACATAACAGCTTTATAGCTTGCAGGGTACTTTAGGCATTTGGGTATTCAAAGTGGCGTTTAGCCGTTTAGAGCAAATTTTATATATATATATATTTCTCTAAGTGCCCAAGTATGAGATTGCTGATCTTACTACTGTTGTGCTTGCAAACTGGTCTCAGATTATATTTCATACTGTAATAAGAAATTTCATATGATTTATTGGTTTTCTCCAGCTGTATGCAAAACTACATTGTAAAATAGCATGACTATCGAGAACTGTTGGAAAAAAACAAGTCAATGTCATAAACAGCTACAGTGAAAAACAACCAGTAGGTGGCATTACAAACTTACCAAATGCCTGTAAACGTGGGAAAGAAAGTAATTTTTTGCCATTGTTTGTTAAGTGGCATTCTGAGCTGGTGTAAGGTTTGCAGTCACCGCACCATTTGGCTGGATATTCGTTTTTGGAAGGAGGCTGGGGAGCTTCTCTTCTTCCTTTTTTCCAGCTCTTGGCCCAGAAGAGAATTTTGTTTTCCTCATCAGTCTGCCTTTACAAGTGAACCACTGCAAAAAGGTGACTCTTGTTCCAGCTTAACTTACTTTTTCTGGGCTGCATGAACACTATTGATATGATCACCATAAGTGTGATGATCTCAAAGTAACAAGGCTCATAAATTAGGGGTGTGATGGGCAGCCTTTGAATATATAGGAAGACCCTGTATTGTGTGCAGATTATAAAAATATTTATTTCATAATGGTCTGTACTGTCGCTTTCTCAAGTACGTAAAATTAAGAAATTCAGTACAGTACACCCTTTACTTTGAGGGTGACAAAACACTGGAACAGGCTGCCCAGGGGCGTTGTGGAGTCTACTCCTTCGGAGATACTCAAAACCCACCTGGACGAAGTCCTGTGCAACCTGCTCTGGGTGAGCCTGCTTTAGCAGGGGGGTTGGACTGAGTGATCTCCGGAGGTCCCTTCCAACCTCCGCCATTCTGTGATTCTGTGGGTCATTAAAATTTATTCTTAACCCAGTTCTAATGTTTTATTTAATTCTAAAAGGAGCAAAGCAGATATACACTGTTTCATTGAAAATTTTGCTTTTAATTTTTTCCCATTCTTTATTATGAATGAAAATTTTTAAATGACAGCCTAAAAGGAAGATTTTTGAAAACTGGCAAACAAGTTGATAAGTTGCTTGCTTGCCAGGATGGCAAATGAGTTTTCCAATAAGAAGCGTCAGCCTAGGAGCTTCCAGAAGCCATGAATTGATGACCTGCAGAGCTAAGAAGTCTTAAAAGATTTAGCATCTTTGGGATAGGCTGTGTCGTCATTTTGTGATACTACTTAAAAGTCTGCACATATGCTTTGACATCTCTCTCTGATTTTAGTTGTCTTTGAAAAGCTCTGTCTTACACACATGCATAACCAGCCAGGAAAGAAAATGTTACAGGTTCTCTCTTCATAAATAATCCGGCTCCACTTAAAGGTTATTCAGGAAATCAGGCTGCATTCCTTCCTTCAGCCCAGGGGCAATAACATTGTACTTACTGCAAGCAGCCACCCTGAGTAGAAGCAGATTCCACGTACTGCTTCAGAGCAAGACGGAATTCTTCAATTTCTTCTTCTATCACAGACATTTGACGTTGGACAATCATTATGTGCTGATACAAAAACATTACAGTATTACTGCCATATCACCCTCTGAATTCCTTGTACTTTAAACTCTGGAAAGTCTATCAATAAAACAATAAAACCCACAGTAATCACGCCCCACTTGCCCCAAAAGTTCCTTTGAAGTTTGCGGTCCCTGTTTTACTGCTTTGGAGTAGAGGAATAGAAACACCTCTGGGTAGCTTTTATATCTCAGCAGGCTGAGGCGGAGAATGGAAACACCCAAAATTAGTGTTGACCTTAGAAAGAGCGAGAGTTGTCCAAAGCCTGGGCGAGAGACTCTTTTTCAGAAGAGTACAAAGCAAATGTTTATCTTTGGAACATTCAACAGTAAAGCCAGTGTGTTTCCTTGGATTAATCCTTATGCAAACAGGTGTGAGGTTTGAGACGAGAACATATTCCCACAGTCTGCATTGGATGTGGTATTACTTTCGTTGAGGTGGGGTTTTTTCCCTCCACCTTTCTGCAAAAAATGAACCATCTTTATAAACGGGACTATGGAAACACTTGGCAGCACAGAAGACCTATTTATCCTGAATTATTATGATTAGCCTTTAGCCAATGTAGGTACTTTACATGTTGATTTATCCATTGAAGCTTGTCAATTTTACTAATGAAATACATAAACACCATGTGCTTCTTAATTAATGCAACTTCATCTCTTGTACGGCTTTTTGACTTGTTTCTGCCTTGCTTATTGATACCGTTGTCTCATGGGTTATCCCTCCACCAGAAGCAGCCTGTCTAGCAATATTGTATAATCTCATTTAAAAAAGAAAAAAGCTATTACAAGCCCTGTGATGAAATAAGGAATTTGATGGATCATCTATTTTTGTTATTTTTCCCTGTGTATTTGATTTGCATTTTTTTAGGTTCAAAGCCCAGAATTTAGGGATGCTAGTGTATTTTAAAAATTGATCTTTGGCTTAATTAAAAGTACATTTATTTCTGGTTATGATTTTGGTTTTGTAAGTTGTAATATTTATTACGGCTTAACAGTAGATGCTATCCCATCTTTCCTGATAAGGCTTCCTACATCAGTTTTGGGAGGGAGGGAGGCTGGCTGTACAACCATGATTTAAAGCATGCATGCAGCATTAGGTGATCAGAAGCTGAGAAGCTTTCACCCCATAAAGACTGCTGCCAAATTTGGCAAATCTTATAAATGACACCTTTTACTCCTTCGGTGAACTGAGGTTTTGGCTCACTGTGTCCTTTGAAAACAATGCAAAAATTAATACAGAAGTTTTGCCCCCATACTCATAAGTTTTGGTGTGTTGCATCTTGCACAATGTATTCTGCTGACTAAAATGGATTCTCATCCCTGGGAAAAGGGAGGATGGTGATTTTTATTTTTTAACAAAAGAGATCAAGTGAGATTGTTGGCTCAATACTTGGCATGGAAAATCAAATGTCAAAAGTCATTATCTTGAAAAGCACTTACAGATTTTGCATTTTCTTCCAAAACTTCCTCTTCAAATGGCTCGAGCTTTAGGTCCTTCAGGCAGTTGAAAAGACAATGGAAATAAAAAAAAATGGAAATATAAGCTGTATTCTGGTCTTACCTTTTTAACAAGTTATTCCAATAGCTAGATTCTGTTATATCTCCAAAAGTTATAACTAAATAATAATTAAATGCTGCCTTTATTAGCTGTAAGTCAAACACAATCACTTGGTCACCGCTTGATGTTTCTGTCTAATTCATTTCAGTCTGAAGTCAGTGGCCATTCAAGCAATCAGCTTTGCTTTTTCTGGACTTTGCTTTGGCACAGAGTAGATGGGCTGACAGTCTCCTACTGCTAAGTGGCACTGACATCCTTCTTGCCACATGTGCCTGTCCCAGTCATGACCCAGACACTGTTTTGTGAGGTGCTGCTTAAACATGGATCGCAGGGAGCTCCTCCTACCGTAATGAAGTGTAAGTTCTAATAAAATGAGGACAAGATGAGGTGGTGTTAATACGAAAGAATTCTCACAGTCTTTAATATGGCTTAGGATACTTTATAGGACCAGAAGTTTTATGATTTCTGTGTTGCATGCCTAGTAAATTGGGGGGTTTAATTCCCAGAGGTCAGAAAGAAGTGCCAGGAGAAGAACACTCAAAGGAGGTGGTCCTGGAGAAGCTGCAGACAGGGTGAACTTCTCACCTCTCACGGTTAGACCTGGCTGTGAGATACAACGCCAAGCAGATGCAAAGTTAGGCAAAGGTGGATATAGTCAGCCTATTGGCAAAAGGAGGTTTGTCTAATTGCTGTGTTTTATTAATCAAGTTTTATATTGATAAGGAGTTAGTTATGGAAGGTCTATGCCCCGAGCTCCGTTTCAAACTGAGGTTCTCTGTCATTTATCTGGAGCAGATTTGGTCATTTCATAACATCCTTGTTGTAAGTTTATTTTCTATGAAATGGTTGGCTGCTTCCTGTAACATTTGCATTGCATTATTGCTGTATGTCAGGTTTCTTTTTTCAGTAATGTTCTTTTAAATGTTAAGTTTCAAACTCCTTTTAGCATCAGTCCGTGTTGGGAAGTCAGTGTGGCAGGCCAGCGAGCTGCTGCGTCCAAAGCAGAGCTGAGAGTAAGGCTGGACCAAAAGCGAGAGTTACATTTCATGACAGACTGACATTTCAAAATCCAATTTATAGCTATTCAGAAAAAATCAAGTTGCTACTAAAATGTCATTAATGTGGGAACTGCTGTGTAATTGCTTTTCTCATGCAGAAATGACCTCTGGGAGGAGGCTGTTGTGTGCAGGCAGATGAGTGTGCCCTGGCCAGAGGCTTAATGGACTGATCAGACCATGAGGAGCTGCTGAGCATAGCAAGGAACGAAGTGAGAAGCTGACAGAAGTTACAGACAGTGCCACAAGGAATGGCTGAATTTCACGGCTGGTTAAGGAGAAGCGATGTGAGAGACTGTCAGACCTCAGGGATAGCCAAAGGGAGTACAGGGTTCCTTTTTGGGAGCAGAGTCTTGCCAGGCCAGCAGTGCTGGGGGCTGACCCTATCCATAATGCAGCTAATCAGTAATAAGGTTGAGATAACAGCAACACCGAATTTTGGTCCCAAACTGGGACCAAAGTGGAAAAATAGTTAGGAGCGGTGTGTTCATTTGGAAGGGAGCAATGGCAGAGAAAGGTCAACATGCTTGTCTTGCTGAGCCCTGTGCCAGATCACCACCATTTATTCTGTCTTCTTAAATCCCTCACTTCACTATTTTCTAGGTATATAATTTGCTACTGAACTCAAGTTGGACTAGCAGGTGAGTAGGAGGAGACACTTGTCTGCCAGGACCCAAGCTCTGAGCCCATGCCTAGGTAAGGGGCATGGGTCCAGCAACAAATACTAGGTGGACTTCATGGGGGAACACCCATCCTGATCTGCTGGAACAGGATCAGGCTGTTGCATGTTCATGTTTCTGCGAGTGCTGCCTGTCTGTTTGCAGGTGCTGGTGAAGGCACGCGTGCTGGTGTGTGTGGCTCCGTGTCTGTGGAGCACACGCACAGCCTCGCTGCTGGTGAGCACTGACCTGCAGGGAGGGGCAGCATCAGCCGCACCAGGACTGGAGCAGCTCCTGGGTCTGAGAGAGCTTCAGCTGAAAACCTCGCCTCTAGTAAACCAGGAGTAAGAAATGCCCTGGGTCCCAAAATCCACTGAATTCAGCCACTCCCTTAGCACCTATCTGAAATTGTATGTCTATCCTTCAATAGGGACACTTTATGTAGAGAACAGCACAGGACACCTTACTTTTTCTTCTGCTTCTCAAAAAAAAAAAAAGTCACCACACACAGACATAAAACAACTTTTAAAACCTAGGGTAGCAATAAATCTGATTGGAAACAAAAGAAATAGATATTTTCTGTGCAGATGGATGTTACTCAGGTTTTTACAAGCCCTGGGAAGCCTTGGTATGGTTGGATCAGACGGGTCATTTGTCAAACTCCCGGAGGGCTTTCCTTTGGCGTGGGAACTGCAGGAGGTCTCAGGGCTCTGGGGGCTGGTGCAGCCCCGGAGCTGGGGCGGCTCCCACGGCTCCCAGGTGGGATGGTGGGATTTGCATCAGCTTTCGGTTGATCTTAGGAAAGTGTTTTAATCCTTATAAATTAGTATTCTCTGATGGGGAAGGAGGAAACGGAACTTTCTGTCAAGCTTTAGTGGGAAAGTTTGGAGACGAAGAGAAAAAAATCAGATCCTAAAAAGAGAGGCTTGTCCCATGTTCCCCAAAACAAGCATAACTAAATACAGTAACATCTTCCCATCACAGAATAGTGTGACTTTTCAGATCTTTACAAAAAGTTGGATCTGTGGTGATGGGAAGGGGAAAGAGGAGCTTGGCAAAACCATGTCATGCTTTTGTGAAATAGGAAGAAGAAGGTGAAAGGAATATGTAGGCATTTAAGGAGTGTTAGCTCTCTTAGGTGATGGAGTTTCACTCACCATTGATTGGAAAGACTGCGACTGGGGCATTGAAAGCATTTGTGATTTAAGGGCTGCTTTACTGAAAATGAGAGGACAAAGAGGTGAAAAGAAACACACACCTTCTTTTCCAGCCTGTCAATCAGCTTTTGGAGTCTGTTTATCTGGGTGTTCCACTGGCTGTCATCTTCAATCCAACCTTTGGAAAATATAAATAATGAACATTTACAATGTGTTACTAAATGCTGGAACATAGTGTATTCACTTGTTTTATAAAAAGTTTAGCTTCACTTGCAATTTGTTTTGCTTTTTGAAGATTGTGCTGCAACTAGTTCAATGTTCATTTAGGTGTAACTAAAGGAAAGAATGGTTTTGATTATACAAATTATTTTCTTTCTTTTTAAGATAGAATAGAATCCAATACACAGTGAAAACTGCATTCTAGATTAATGCCAGTGCTTTTGAAATCATGCTGATACCTAAAGAAAGGAATGCTCTCCTCTGGAGATAGAACCAGCTCATAACCTGAGCACCTTCTGCTCAAAATGCAAAATCAACTTGGGGGTGTCTCTGTGGTAAACCTTTCTCTGTCTTAGTATTTTTTGTAGTTTGCCATTTCTTACTCTTCTGTATGTGAAAGATTCTATAAAAGTAAGGGTCAGCTCTTCTGCTGCACTGCAAGCCTGTCTCTGGAATTCCATGGAGGGATCATGTGCTGTGTCTTATCTGCTGTTCCTCTTTTCCCCTGAGAGCACTGGTGAAGGTGAAAGAAATGCAGTCAAGACTGTCTTAGATATCTTGGCATGGCTAATACAGCTGGGGCAATAGGATCTTTCTTTCTCCCGCAAAGAGCTGGCAGACCTGCTATAGGGCCCTGACTGCAAGGCCATTGCCATGGTCAGCCTGTTGCTGTTCTTAGGGTCCTGACGCAATGCTTCCAGCAGGAGTCCTGGATTAGTCAATTATTATTTATTCCCAATAAAACAAATGCATTCTTATGAACAGCAGAAAAGAACTAATTGGATATACATGTGCAGCTAAATGACCTAGGTTTCTGGCATGGCATGTTGAGGAATTCTGATATTGAGGAATCCTGATATTGAGGGATTCCTGAAGGAGCCACCTAACATAATTGTAGAATGTCTCGTATGCATTGGGAATAAGGGGATTTCTCTTCATTCAGGAAAAGTTAATTTAGCTGCAACAGCTGTTTTTATACTTAGACTTTGAGGGGGTTTCAGCTTTGTTACTGTCATCTGCAATACGCTGTCTTAGGGGTTTTCATGTGTTCGTCCACTACTTATGGATATAATCTAGAAGGGACTCTATAGCTGGTTTTATAACTTTAATGGGATGTCCCTTGCAGCTAATGATCCTTCTTTACCTTTCCAACCAAACAGCGTTCCTAGGTGCCTGATGAATTGCAGCAATATGATTATTAGGATTGATCCTTCCTACACTAGATTATTCTAGAACGACATTTTGGGTTTGAGATGTGTAATTTATGCCTATGGTGACTGCAAATTTTGACCAGCTCAAGATTGATTATGTTTTATCATAATAACTTTCCTATGTTTATTTTTCTCTCAAGTCATGGAATCCAGCAGCAGAGGAAAGACTAATGACACTAGATGTTAATTGTGTCTTGTCTCTTTGTATGGATAGAACATGACCCTGTCAGAAGACTTCCTAGCTCTCCATTTCCGCTGCAGTCATATTTGTGACTGTATAATGACCTGATGTCATATAGCAAAGGTGAAGCTAGAAAATGTTGTTCTACAAAGGCACAAGCACCTCAGCCTTTCTAAAGTCTCTGGAAATTTTTGATTCGCCAAAGTCTCAAGAAAATTGTCTGACAGATGGAAAGGATAATACTCAAAGAAAGAGATACATGCATAACGAGAGCAGCTCCTGGCATCACCCACAGTGTGAATGTGAACATAAGTGATTGCTCTAAGGAGAGAGGAAAGTTGTTTATCAGAAACTGAAGATTTTTCAACACATGCTTTTGATATGCACATTCATTAACCTCCTCATTTTCCAGCTGAGAGTTCTTGTGGCACTTGTACTATGTTTTCACTAAAGAAAACCTAATTCTGGGGATGTACCATAAGTGTGATATGTAGCGGAGGCAGAGTGTGGCTCTACCTAAATGAGTACAAAGGCTAAAGAAATGCTGGCTTGAGTGTTGAGTGTGTATAGACACCTACAGTGTTACTGTGCATGTGGGCAGCAGGCAATACAGAGGAAGACCAAGTGCCAAGACAAACACAAATCTTGTCTAGGTGAGTAGACAGCTGTTAGCTATTAGAATAGCTGCAGAAAAAGATGTTAGGTCTTTGAAATTAATACAGTAAGTGGATTTGGTACAGCTTGTGTAGTTTTGGGTTCCTTCTGAACATCATCCGGCATCATTGCACTGAATGAACAGCATCATTTGGTATTTTCCCTTTTTTTTTTCTTGTTTGTTCCCCTCAGCTGGGGTGTAAGTCACGACAGAGAACTTGGTTCTGTATAAGTTACAGCCTTCACTTTTTTATTCTTATCTGCAGGCTAGAAATACTACCTAAGAAATGTTGAATCAACCCACAGCCCCAACAAAATATCACAGTTTGGCCCATAATTATATACTTATTTTTTATCAGTTCAGATCTATGAGTACATATTTTAATACCTTCTATGTTAAATTGAAGATTGATTTCTGTCGGTAAAGTATCCGAGTTAGTTATCATGTCTAAATTAAATTTCTGAGAGGAAGATGCATGTATATTTTTCTGTATGTGTGTGTGTATGCATGTGATTATTTAAATATCTTTAAAATGTGAAATACCGTACCTGTGCTAAAATGAGGGCTATTTGGTGACAGGCTGTTGTTCCTCTGAAGTCTTCGAGCTGAGCGTTTTCCTGGCCATTGAATTGAGAGAACTTCTGGTTTTGTTGGATCTTGTCTGCACAGAAACACAGGAGAGGTAAAACGTGGAGGAACTCTCCTCTCTCTGTTCTCAAAAAATGTTATTCTATGTTCCCTTTTGAATTAAAAAAAGAAAAATACTTATTGAGACCACTGAATTATTTTCCATATTTTCGCTATTACTAAGTAGTTGTATTTAGGTTGCTAGTCATTAAAGAATTAAAAAAAACCAAACCAAAACCCAAGAGGGTTAAGCTAGTGTAAGCCTATCTTTTAGGGGGAGAAAGGTCACATCATTTCTTCATTCACGGGAATTTTGTAGCATCTCTGCAGAGGATCTGGGGTCACAAGTACAGCTAAAAGTGAGATACGAACTTTAAACATTGACCACTTCAGCTTAAAGATTGGAAAGATAAACAGCAACGTTTATAGGGAAGGAAAACTAATAAGAATTAGCTAATATTGGGTGGAGGACAGATACATTTCTGGGACCAGTATTGAAACATAGCAGATACAGAAATGACTTATGTTTGTACTGCGATGACAGAGTCATTGAAGCTTGAGAGTTTGTGTGAGGACTGAAGGCTGCCTCTTCCTCAGTATCCAGCCAGCGAGCAATGAAGGACCAGGACTACAATTAGTTTTGAACAGTTAGCTGGATGAGTGCTTGCAAAGAATATTAGGCAGTTGTCTAAACAGTTCAGTAAATAATTCCCAGGTCACTGCTTTGGCAAGCTCTCTGGTCTCCTGAAGCACAGAATGAAGGCTCACCAAAGGGTCACACACTATGTTAAGGAGATGGTATTTTCTGCAGCATAAAATCCCTTCACAGTAAGTGAAATTATGGCAGTTCCCCACTGTGAGCACTCTTAAATTAGTTTAGGAGTGTCTTAATGGGATTTTGATTCAGACAGTTTGCCCCTAAGTTAAACATAATTGAAGATGCACTTGGGTCAGGGAAACCCGCAGTATCAATACAGGCTGGGGGAAGAAGGCATTGAGAGCAGCCCTGCTGAGAGGGACTTGGGGGTACTGATGGACGAAAAGCTGGACATGAGCCGGCAATGTGCGCTGGCAGCCCAGAAGGTCAACTGTACCCTGGGCTGCATCAAGAGAAGCGTGGCCAGCAGGTCGAGGGAGGTGATTCTGCCCCTCTACTCTGCTCTGGTGAGGCCTCACCTGGAGTACTGCATCCAGCTCTGGAGCCCTCAGAACAAGCAGGACATGGAACTGTTGGAGCAGGTCCAGAGGAGGGCCACAAAAATGATCCGAGGGCTGGAGCACCTCTCCTATGAGGACAGGCTGAGGGAGTTGGGCTTGTTCAGCCTGGAGAAGCGAAGGCTGCGGGGAGACCTGATTACGGTCTTTCAATACCTAAAGGGGGCCTATAGGAAAGATGGGGAAAATCTTTTTAGCAGGGCCAGCTGTGACAGGACAAGGGGTAATGGTTTTAAACTGAAGCAGGGTAGGTTTAGACTAGATATAAGGAAGAAATTCTTTACAATGAGGGTGGTGAAACACTGGAACAGGTTGCCCAGAGAGGTGGTGGAGGCTCCATCCTTGGAAACATTCAAGGCCAGGTTGGACGGGGCTCTGAGCAACCTATCTGGTTAAAGATGTCCCTGCTCACTGTGGGGGGCTTGGGCTAGATGACTTCTAAAGGTCCCTTCCAACCCAAAGCATTCTATGATTTTACATAGGGACCGGGGCATCTGCACTAGGAACTGAATAATTTTCTCCAAAATAGCTTCAGTTACAGTTTTGAGTTCATCTGGCTTTTCCATTGCTATCTCAAAAAATGGGCAAGATTGGTATTTGGCTTAACAGTGCCATACCTCTTTCTCATTTTCTTTGTCATAAACCAAATTCATCACCCAAGAAGATATTTCTGAACAACTGTACTGATAAAACTGGAGAAAGAAGTCTCCACAATGCCTTACCAGACAGTCAGTGCAGATGAGAAAGCTGGCAGCAAAAGGGATGTTCATACCGCCCAATTCTACCCACCCAGGTGAGTAGTTTGAGTTACTCAGGTGGTCTTTCTAGACTGTATTTCTAGAGAGGCTGTCTTAAAAGGCAAGTCAGAGAAGTCAGTGATTACTCTGGAAGACGTAAGAGCACCTAAGTTAGGCTCTAGGTCTGAACTGGCCATTCAAGACTTTTTTCTCTCCCATCAGTTGTGCAGGGAACCTGGAAAGAGGGGTGTATATATACTGTGCATACTCAGCTTTTGAAAACCTGCTTGATTCCTATGGTCAACCTACTGCCACAAAACCCCAGTGTATGCAGAGATGTCAAAATGAAGAGCAAAACAAACAAGAAAATGACATATCCAAAAGAAAGACTGAAAAAGCAATGCATTTTAAAACATATGAGGTGTTGAGATCTTCTTTGACCATGAAACACAACAGCTTGTATTTTGCTTTCCCTATCATCTTTAACAATAGCATACTAAGGAAAACAAATCCATAAAGCCAAGTACCTTTTCAAAAATGTTTTGATCTTTGATCCTACAAACCCTCACCTATGAGATCATGGTATTAAATTCAGCTAACCGCCCTGGATGGATATAGTTTACCCAGGTGATTTTCAGTTTATAGAGTTAGATGTTAATCAATACTATGGCCCTACCTTAGAATCATAGAATCATTAAGGTTGGAACTGTGCATACTCAGCTTTTGAAAACCTGCTTGATTCCTATGGTCAACCTACTGCCACAAAACCCCAGTGTATGCAGAGATGTCAAAATGAAGAGCAAAACAAACAAGAAAATGACATATCCAAAAGAAAGACTGAAAAAGCAATGCATTTTAAAACATATGAGGTGTTGAGATCTTCTTTGACCATGAAACACAACAGCTTGTATTTTGCTTTCCCTATCATCTTTAACAATAGCATACTAAGGAAAACAAATCCATAAAGCCAAGTACCTTTTCAAAAATGTTTTGATCTTTGATCCTACAAACCCTCACCTATGAGATCATGGTATTAAATTCAGCTAACCGCCCTGGATGGATATAGTTTACCCAGGTGATTTTCAGTTTATAGAGTTAGATGTTAATCAATACTATGGCCCTACCTTAGAATCATAGAATCATTAAGGTTGGAAAAGACCTCTAAGATCATCAAGTCCAACCATTGACCCAGCACCACCACGACTACTAAACCATGTCCTGAAGATCTAGGAAGAAGCTGTAACAAGCAAGAGCCTGGTATTTCTTCTCTTAACATTGGGATCGTTGTGTAACCAGGAATGAAGAAAAATCATAAAGCCAGAAGAAACAAACAAGTAGACAGTCAATGGTCTTAGTAGTTTTAGAGTTCTTCACATTGCAGTGGTCTGGTTTCTGCATTTGGTATTAAATAGTCAATGGATTTAAAAAGAATTCCAAGGAGCAGAGCCTAGGTTGTAACAAAATGGTCTTCCTACATGCAACCCACCACAGGATCAGCTCAGAACCTGCTTGTATTCAATTTCAGGAAAACTCCTTGTAGTGAGTTCCTATATGGAATAAAAAGCATATCCTTATTTCTCCTGTTATTCCCTACATCATGTTGCTGGGTGAAATGTAAAATGATCTTGGAAGTTCACGGTGACCCCACTCCTCACTCCCTTCACTGCAGCTGGGCAGAAGGTTTGCTCACCTCTCCTGCCGGGTCTGCTCCTCCGTGGTTTCCATGGCACACTCCAGGGAGCTCTGGAGGGACTGAAGCTGGTTCAGTGTTTCCTTCAAAAGAAAGCGAGTCACAAACTGCTCCAAATTAGAAGCTTCCTGATAGTCCTGAAAGTTACACGAGAAACAAAAAAGGTAAGGATTTGCCTACTAGGTTGGAAATATGTGAGGGAAGAAGATTCAGACTTAATTGAGAAAGGAAGCAGTTTGGATGTTTTCATGCTCAAACATACAAACTGCATAAACAACCTTTAAGTTTCTGGACAAAAAGACCTTTGAATTTTCAGGTATAGATACTGATCCCACCAATCTGGGAGAGGCCCAGATACACAGTGGCACGACATACACAGTTTCTACTCAAAAACACCGTTTTCCTTACATTTCTTAACTCCAGTGGATGGCAGTACCACATTACTTAAGTATGGAAAAGCCCAGATATGTTTGACAACCACAGAAGGGAATTTAAAGTTTTTTTTCAGATCCACTCATGTGAAATTATGTTTATCTCGCGCACTGGCCTGTTTCTGACAGTGATTATGGGAATAGTGTTTGAGCAGGGCACATACTTAGTGATACTGCTCTGGAAAACTCCACCAGCAGTTTGGCTGAAGGACTGCCTGTGCCAGAGAGATTGCCTTCTGAATTTGACAGTCTTTGACTGATTTTTGTACCTTTACTTTGTTTAATTATTTTTGAAACCATATATCTGTATATTTCACAATTACATGAAATGCATCTAAATGTTCTTTGAGTTGGAGTTTGGTTACTATAGAAGTTTGCATCTACATATAACAGTCTGTAATCGTTCTTTTCCAATTTGTTTTATGTGTTCAAAAATATTTGCACCTATTTTGTGTAGATAATTTCAGAAATAAATTTTTACTCCTGCTGTCTCCCTGGCCCAATGAATCATATTTCCATCAACGGGGTCAGCTTTAACGTTTCTGGCAGGCCCAGATCTACAAAACCCAGTTCTGCAGTGACATGCAGGTAATACTGTGTGAGGGGGCTCACCCACACAATAATATAAACACCCTCTTTGTTGTTTTCTAATTAATAAATGTAATGGAGAGGGTAGAGCAAACCCCTAGAGCCTTTGCTTACTGTGTAGACCTCCCATCAGGAACAGAGAAGGAAAATGGACTTCCATCTCTTAAACTCAGCTATCTTGAAAGCCTTTGGGTACAATTCAATCTAAAATGGTTTGATAAAATATGAGGTGCATTGAATGAACGATTTGTCTAGTCACCACATCTGAACATCAGTGGTGTTCTGTTATCTCCAAGCTTTAAAGAAAGCTTGTCGTTTGAATGGTGTTGCCTCCTACTCCAGCTGAGAACTCATTTGAGTGTTTTTGGCAACGCATATGGGTATTGCCAAGCTCTTCCCCGTTCTTCCCAGTGTAAGTTACAGCTGAAATGCCTTTTTGACTTTTACACTTATCTTAGAATTTTTGCGTGTGTGTTTGCAATCAGAACACAAATACGGAATGTTTTGAAATTTTTTAAAAAAAAAAGATTGTAGGAAAATAGCTTTAAAAGCATTTTTCTCTCAAATGAGAGCAATCTATTCACAATATATGTTATTAAGTCAGTTCTTGTTGGAAGACTTTACTACAGAAATCTCAGATGTTAAACCATCCATGAACGATCAGAAGCTGCTTATGTAGCCAGGAGCTTCGTGGTCTTCTATGTTTACTTATTCTGTCTTCAGATTAATCAAGTGTGAGCCACTCTCCAACAAATAACAAATATTTTTAAAATAGATACTATGGGAGATTGTCTGTCTACCTTTTGAATGAATACCTGAGACACACACCACTCCTGTAAATAACATTTATGGCAAACTTTATGAATACTAAATCTTACTATGCAATAGGTAGGCTGATTTTTTTCTTCTTCTTCTAAATTGTCTGCATTGTAACTGGTTTAAAACTTTGGTGCACCTGACAGACATCATTTAATTTGCAAAAATTTTGTTTCTCTGTGGCATGTTAGAACAACATGTGTGAATCTGTGAGGCACGGGCAGCTAAATAAAACCCTGCAGAAGAAATCCAGGGTATGTTTTAATTTTTCAGCTCTTGCCAGTGCTCTTGGAAATAAATGAACAAAACATGATGGAACTGACCATTTCTTGTGAGTTTTTGAATACCAAAGCAATCTCACAAGAGGAGGATAATCAAAGTGGTTTAAAATTCTGGGCATCCAAAAAGTAAATGGTACAGATACCTCCATATAGCTTCCTGCTCATAGGCATGGTAAAGCTGATACCGGCATGCGTGATTTACATCATAAAACATACATCAAAGCTGTTTCTTTTTGCAAACTGTTCAGGTGGGCCCTCACTGATGGGGGGAACTTGCAAACACTAGCTCTGCAATACTTGCTACTGTCTGAGGCTGGCTGCTTTTTGACTCTTTCAGAAATGCCTTACTGCACCTGAAAGTTATTAAGGTTGGGTTTTTTTTTTTAATCAGAACTACTCCAGGTTTCTGCATTGCACCAGGATTTAGTCTTTTTTCTTCCTGTTCTGTTGTCCCATAAATTCTATATTTAAAGGCTTCCCTACGGAAAAGGTCCTAGTGATCTTTAGATATGGCTTAGGGTTGCCTTATCAGGTACACAGGGCTTTTTTTTGTAAAGACGGGCTAGGCAGGCAGGACGCTATCATAGTCTGTGGGAATCTAGGCTTATCAAAGACTCTTTCCTTATGTATATTTTACCCAAATATTGCTGTTTACAACTCTTCTATGTGGAATTACTTACCTGTCTTAATGCAGCCAGTTGGGCAAATGGCTACTCAATATTTTTCTTTAAATAATGTCTCTGAGGCCAGCAGTTCTGAGCTCACAGCAATGTTGGGCAACTTCAGCTCCTGCCTGCTGAAAGATAACTACTCCTACCCGTCCTTCTAAACTTCTTTGAAGATCATGGAAGAAGGTATTCAGCATACATAAATTGTCAACATTACTATGATATAAGTCATGGAGGGAAAAAGATTATCTGTTACAATTCACCTTAAACCTTAATTCTAGCTCTCAGCAAGGAGGAATTACCAGCCATGTTTTGTTATTTTTTCACCATTCTACTTCCTACAGAAAAGAGCCTTCATTTGCATTTTACTAAAGACACACTGGTACAATTTCATGAGAAGAAGGAAAATGTTAATTCTGAATTAAGAAAAGTGTGTATCAATTTATTAAGTGTATATTATGGTAGAAGCAGCTTAACTGGCATGCCCAGTATTTGTATTGTCAGTACACTGTGCCACCAATTAATAATTGGACCCACTGATGGCGTCTGTACGTAAACTAGAGAAATGGCCTGCTTCTTGAATTTCATTAACTGTAAATTACCATTCATTAGCATATTCATTATACTGCACAGCAGTTTGGGCCGTCCAGATGAAATAAGTCTGTGTTAACATATTGTTCTGCTTGTTAGTTTTACTGATTGTGAGTGAATGAGGGTAATTTTCCACATCTTCATCATCAAGAGACAACTGTGACCTTTGTGAGCAGCTAAGATTTGAGTTTCCATTAATGCAACTGAAAATACACATCATTAGTGATTTCCCTGTGGAAAAGGTCACTGTGGTCTTTAAAACTGGCTTATGGCTATCTTAAAAGGTGCAGAACAGGTTCTCCTTTTATACAGGCGGAGGAGGCAGCACTTGGGTATCTCCTAAGAGAGTCCACATCTCAGGGCTACCACAGGTTCATTGACTCTCTTGATCTTCTCAAGCCCTGGTGCCAGCCCTGATCCTCTCCCCTTGGGTGATCTGAACCACACTGATCCACTTATCAGAAAAGCGGCTCCTTAAGATGGGGAAGGAAGGAGATACCCATGTTTGCTTACTTGGGGCAAGAAAACTAAACTGTCTGGGACAACAAATAAATCTCTCAGAAGGGGTGGGATCTTAGGGAAGAGCTCCACAAGCTTAGTGAGAAAGGATGTCTGGATGTCACCTGGTCCCACTCCCTGTTCGGAGCAGGGCCAACTTCAAAGCTAGTTCAGGCTGCTTGTAGACATGTCAGATGAGTTTGGAACATCTCCAAGGATGGAGATTACACCATCTCTGGTCCACTGTTGCACCACCTTCTCTGTGCAATGTATTTTCCATATGTCTAGTCAGCATTTTCCCTTCTGCAAGGTGTAGCTGTTGCCTCTTATGTTTTTGCTATGCACCCCTGAAAAAGCCAATGTTATTTTGTCTTCTCCATAAACCCTTCTTTAGAGAGCAGAATTATGTCTTCCCTCAGCCTCTTGTCCAGGATGAACAAGCCTGGTCCCCATGGCCTCTCTTTTCTATATTGCTATTTTGCTATATAGTAGTTTCTGTTACATAACACTTTATAACTTATTTATTTAAACTTTATTTTATTTGTAACATTACTTACAATATTTATTTATTACTGTTATATTATTTTGCCATTTTCTGCTTCCTATTTTATATGCTGTATGAAAATAATTTCATAAAAATTATTTATGCTTATCTTTACAGAAAATACCCCCAAGGCAACTGAAAAGTAGTTATCATTGAGTTATCATTCCTCAGTGAGGAATAATCTATTTAAATTTCTCTTGATCATGGAATGTCTCCTGCCCTGTGTGTTTAGATCCTACATTAGTGGGACAATGCCCTGGGTTACAACTTTAAATTGAGGATATTAATATTAGCCCAGAATAACTGCACTAAAATGAAAAAGAATTCAAGCCTTTTTAATTTCAATCACTAAGATCTAATTCTTCAGACTGTAGGATGGAGTCAGAACAGACTCAGAATAAAATCATAATTTTAGCAGAAGCCAGACTTCACACAAATGCAACTTTTACAGCATCCTAATTGTAAGAGTGAGCAAAGGCATAACACGCCAAACTATTAAATAGATTCAACTTCAATTTTCGTGTGTGGCACAAGCTTTACAAATTTATCAAAGTATTATATTTGGAATAAATTACATGTTTAAATCCTGCCTAGAGAACTGGAACAGTGACGATCTCTACTAACCACTTGCAGTGCTGACATAAGAGGAATGAAATAAAACAGGCAGCCATGGGTGATTACAGGAGAATATTGACACACATTTGTAATACTGTCCATCTG